GCAAAAGTTTCTTAATAGTCAATTCATACGTCTGAGTATACCCTTTCACCACCAGTCTTGTCTTATACCTTTTTAGTGTACCACCAGCTTTGCATTTCACAAAGAATACCCATTTGCAGTCGAATGATTTTTCTTCCTACTGGTAAGTTAGTAATCTCCCTTGTATTGTTCTTTTTCAAGGCACGCATTTCATTTTTGATGACACTTTTTCAATTTTCATCAAATAAGGCTTTAGAAATATCATTAGGAATATGAATATCATTTAGTGTAACAAAAAATTTTTGTGTGAATGTAAGAAGTTATGGAAGGATACAAAGTTGGTTATGGGGTACAAGGGAGGTTTGTTTTATTAACTTGTATTTACCTCAAGTTTAGGAGACGGTTCAGATTATTGGATCTGCTCTGGAACACAATTTTGGATTTGTACGCCTAGAATACACTTTTTCAATCTCTTATTATCCATAATATCTTTGTCATCAGTTTTCTTGGCTTTGATTTCAAGTTTATGTGGATTGATTTGAGGTGGAGTTGAAAGGTCAAGAGGAGCAAATTCACTTTCCCCATCTTCCTTAGTTTCAATCTCCCCTTGAAGATGAGATTTGGTGAAATAAGATTTTTTTTTATCAAAAGTAACGTCAATAGATACACAAGTTTTTTTTTTGTAGATGGATGATAATACTTATAACCTTTCTGAGTGGATGAATATCTAATAAATATACATTTGAGTGCTCTTGAAGCTAATTTTCTTCTATTTTGACTGTGAATGCCAACATAGGCAGTGCACTCAAATATTTTGGGTGTGAGGTTGTTATGGGTTCGAAATTCAGGATAAAAAGAGGAAAGAATATCCATTGGTGTTTTTAGTCTTAATGTTGTTGAAGGTAATCAGTTTATAAGATATATGGCAGACATAAGGGCTTCCCCCAGTAGAATTTGGGTACATTTTGGTGGAATAGAAGTGCAGGGGTGGAGGTCTGAAAATGACCATTTTTTTCTTTCTGCAACTTTGTTTTGTTGTGGGGTATGAATGCAGGAAGACTCATGAATGTTACATTCCTTTTGAAAGTAGGAGGATAAAGTTTGGTTAAAATAATCTTTGGCATTATCAGAATGAAATTTTCTTATTTTTACTTCGAATTGATTTTGGATCATGGTGTGAAAAATGAAAAGAATAGTGCTTACATCAGATTTATTTTTGAGGAAAAAGATCCAAGAGACTCGAGTGCAGTCATCAATGAAGGATACAAACCATCGGGCTCCTAAGATGTTAGGAATTTTTAAGGTCCCCATATATCACTATGAATAAGGTAGAAAGGGGGATGAAATCTCTCAATTTTGTTTGGAAAAGAAACTCGTTTATGCTTGGCTAACTCACAAGTTTCACAATGAAAATAATTATTTTTTAACTTGTAAAAAAGGTTTGGGTATAGATTTTTTAAGACATCAAAAGATAGATGCCTTAATATAAGATGTTGAAGTCAAATTGTAGATTTTTTATTAAATAAGGACAACATAGAATAGTCATTTATAATAATGGATTTGTTTAGCTTTTCGAGGTAGTATAGTCCTCTTTCCTTAGCAAGTACAATATTCTTCCTCAATCCCTGGTCCTGAAATAAGAAAAATAAGACTTGACAATTTCGATCACTGATAAGTTTTTGTATAGAGATTAAGTTTGTGGATAATTGAGGTACGTGGAGCACATTTTTTAGAGTGAGGGAGGGAGATAAATGTTTAACTCCTTGGCCTGCTACTGTGGTAAGAGAACCATCAGCGGTGATTATTTTCTCATCACTCAACCAAGGAGTGTAGTTGATGAAGTGGGTAGTGGAGCGTGTCATATGATCTGTGGCTTGAAAGTGCAAGAGAAGAAGATGCATATGATTTTACAAGTGTACCAGGAGTTGTTTTAGCTTATCAATATCTTCTTTGTTGAGCTCTCTAAAACTGGATTGTGTTTATAGGTTGGGTTGATTTATTATAGTGTTAGCTTGTGTTGTTCCCTTTTGTTCACTTCTTTGATTCCACTTATTACTTGGGGGCTTTTCATGTAACTTCCAGCATGTCTCATTTGTGTGTCTTAATTTCTTGCAATAGTTGCACCAAAGGGAGTCTTTGTCTTGAGGTTTTGAGAAATCTTTACCTCTTTCCTTTCATAACGCCTCGTTAGCTATCACCATTGTTGAACCTTCAACAATCTTTGGTTCCAACATTATACCTCATCAGCTTTTCTCAGTACGAATGAGAGAATTGGTCTCATTTAGTGAGGGCGTCTCCTCTTTGTCAAAGATCTGAACTCTAACTTAAACTCTGTATTTAATACTACAAGAAAGTCATACATTATCTTTCTCAATAAAGCTTTTTATGATAGCCGCATCTTCTGGACACTTAGTCTCTATGCATATGCAGTGATCAATTTCTTGCCACAAGCTTTGAAGGAGAGTGGCATATTCAGTCACTGTTTTGCTTTCTTGTTTTGTGCTTCCAACCTTGACTTTAAATTCAAAGATTTGTGCAGCATTCCGAGCTTTTGAGAAGGTTTGCCTGGCGGCATCCCATATGTCTTTTGTTGTAGATAGGAACATGAAAATATCACTAATTTCTAGAGTCATGGAATTCAACAACCATGTCATAATCATAGAGTCTGCTTCACCCCATGTCTAAAATTTGTATCTTCTTCTTTTGGTTCTATCCTAAGGAAGTGATTCATCTTTCCCTTTCCTTTCAAATAAATCTTCACAAATTGAGACCACTTGAAATAATTATTTCCATTTAAGCGATAAGAATGTTGCATATTTTGGATATCTCCTCTTTCTTGGTGTATCATAGAGTCCATTTGGTCAAAACTTTGGGAGGAATTTGCTTCAGACATTGCGGTGGTAAAGAGCAATGATGAAGGCTATATCAAGCAGGGTAGCAATGAAGGCTACGTTGGTTATAGATATGATAACAACAACAAGGGAGGTCGACAATGAAGGTATGTCAGTACAAAAGATTCAGAATTCCAGCAAAAACAATGAAGGCTCTGATACCATGTTAAATTCAGAGAATTGGAGAGGGAAAATGCTTAATTTTATTGTAGAAACTTGTCCCTATTTATAAATATATACAAGATATCTTAATAAAGAAACAAATAATTATATAATAATACATAATTGCTCTAATATAATCCTTCCTAAATCAGTCATCTAAATATGGAAGGAGATCAACAAGATCCACGTGAGCCTCCACGGATTCCCATCTTAGTCGTGGGATCAAAATGACAAGGGATGGCTAGAATTTAATAAGTGAGCCTCCCACAGATTCCCATCTTAGCCGTGGGATTAAAATGCCAAGGGACGGCTGGGATTTAACAAGTTGTTTGTGGTCATATTTGATTATAAAGGAAATCTCATGGCACCAACATGAAAAAAAGGGTAATGCGCCCGCCCATAGAACCTTATATTCAGCTTGTCTTTGTCATCATCATATAGCCTTGTCCCTATTATTTGCATTAGGCTTTATAAATTATAATTATTTATTTGTTTTGGCTGAGCGTTGTATGCGGTTTTAAATCTATTTTATCCTAATTCTTTGATGTTAGTTTTATCTACCCATACAAAGTATACATTTTCTATTATTTGTTGTCCAAATTACTTTCTATTTTCCACTATTTACATCTTCAACTATATTACTATTATACTCTCTAATATAATCATTTAACAATTAGCCTTCTTAATTTTGTCACACATTTATCTTAATATTCTCTTTTTTGCCACGCTGAAATTGACAATGAGCTTCATTTTACAATCCAATACTCGGACCACATAACATAGGCAAATTATTGGGTCAGGTGACCAAACGCAGAGATAGGTCCAGATATTAATAAAATATTATTTTAAATTTAGCGCAAGTAAAGCGCAAGTCAAAAAGCAGGTAAAGCGCAGGTAAAGCGCAAGTAAAGCGCAAGTCAAAAAGCAGGTAAAGCGCAGGTAAAGTGCAAGTAAAGCGCAAGTCAAAAGCGCAGGTGACGCGGTAAATTTTTATTGGATGTCCGAACTTATTTTTCGCCTCCGGTCACCTGACCCAATAATTTGCCCATAACATAAAGGCCTACTTGTAGGTTTATAAAAAAACGATTCTCCATGGTCCCTTGTTTCTTCGTAAGAGCAGATTTGATTTTACATGTACGAGGTATATAACACCTTAAATTTTCACACACTTGAAGATGAGAGGGATGCAGGAAAGGCCAATGAGATTATGGAAGCGAGGGCACTATGGTTGTGAGCTATGTAGTTTCATCCAACATGCGATGTAATGCTAATAGTAATCAAAACAATCCAATGCGAATGCTTACTCGAGGGTGAAAAAATAAGGGGTCTACATGTAAGGTTTTAAAACTAAATGGCTTTATTTTCCACGTTAAATTGAGGGTTTCTTGAGCATGCTTATCGAAAAAAGCATAATGTTTTCGTTTAATTGTGGTTATCAAATGATTCTGTAAACTTAGAAAACACAAAATTTGCCCTGCATCTTTTAAGATCTCTGGTTTATCCATCATGGATTTTTAGCACTAAAGCTCTCCTGCTCGAGAAATTATTAGGTTCGGATGCTGGACAGAGAGAATCATCCGGATTTCTCTCTGTCTACAGTAAAATCGTTCTTACTGTAGCAACTGCGCTTTTACTGTAGACATGGAGAAATCCGAATGATTTTCTCTGTCCGGTGTCCGTCCGGTGTCCGCACCTAATAATTTGTCCTCTTGCTCAGGCTAGTTGATTCTTGATACTTATATTAATTGACCCTCCTTGCAGTCAGAAATATCTTATTTCCTTTTTATTATGTTAAAAATTAATGTGTGGGAACTGCTTTATGTCCATGCCATATTTTTGTAAGAACTGTGCTATATTATCTGCCTAAAAGTTATCATTGGCCACAATCCCACCCCCATTCCATCTCAGTAAAATGAGAAATTCGAAAATTGTGCACTTTTTCATATCAGATGCCTTTTCATTGCGCAGGTCAGATTATTTTTGTCAGAGGATGCTCCCTTCCAATCTGGACTAGGAAGCCAAGATCATCTACAGGCAAAGGCTGCATCTCAATTGCACTTAAGTAGTGCTGCCTCTGATGACTCCGTGCCTCCTGGTTTTGAGGCACTTCATAAAAGCCAGATTCAAAGAAACATTCCTTCGATCAAATGGCAATCCCCACCCAGCGTAAGCTTTTTTCTTTTTCCATCTAACATGAAAAACTATGAGCTTTATCTTTTGCTTGAAGTGATCTACCTTCAAAATTACATCTAATATAAGTTCTTCATCCAACTCTTTAGCATTGGTTGAAACCGGAATGGCTAGTCGTAACTGGTGAAGAAAGCCAGGAGATCGCCTCGCAGGACCGTAGACAGCTTGGAGTTCTGGAAGCAGTTTATCCTCGTTTATCTTCTATACCTCCAGAGTAAGCTTTCTCTTCTTTGCTGTTGTTGTACTACTCTGCGGCTTTGCTGCTTCTGCTCTACTAGCTAACATGAAATAATTTTCAGTCCCTGTGTCTCTACCGACGTTCAACTCGTTCAATTTGATGATTCCCAAACCCTTCTTATCCCAATAGTTGCAGTAGAAGATGAGGACATAACTGACCAAGAGGCAGTAGCAGCACCAACTACCATACCTTCTTATTTCATACCTCCTGTAGCAGCAGCACCTGAGCACTCACTCCCCAGCTCAATTCCTCCTATTCCAAATCTTCCTCCAGTTCAAAAGCCACTATCCCTCAGTTCTGAACCTGGGCCTGGTACAAGCGTTAAGCCTGATATTGCAGCTGCTGCCTCTGCTGCATTCACAGCAATCATGCGGAGCAATGAGGAAGGTAGTCTGATTGACCGAGACCTCCTCATCAAAATCCTAAGGGACCCAAGTATGGTCGGAAAGTTGGTCTCAGAGCGTTCAGCCCCTACGCAGACTCCATTGCCAGCACAGCCTCCTTCACAGATAGCTTCTGGTGCCACTAACAGTGCTTATCCAATGCATATCCTTGTTCCAACTCCAGCTCCCAGTCTCAAACCGCCGCCGCCGTCGTCTTCAACCACTATCCCCATAAATATACCGACAGTTCGGCCCAAAGCTCCTCCAACTAAGGATGTAAACTACTACAAGAGTTTGATTCAGAAGCACGGCGGTGATCGGCACGAGTCGACTGAACCAGCTCCACTGCCATACGAAAACCGCCATGATTATCATAGCAACCCCTTGGGATCTATATATGGAGAGGGTGCCGGCCGCAGAAAACCCAAAATTGAGAAGTTGTGCGCGTACTTCAACACTCCTAGAGGTTGCAGGGAGGGGTCCCGTTGTTCTTACCTGCATGATTCATCAACATCAAAGAAGATTGAGCATCAGAGGGCGTCAAAGAGAATCAAATTTGATAGATGAATTGGTTACAGAAAATGACCTGTTTTCTGTCACCACCACTTGATTTTTGTTTTGTTCTTGTTTAGGCATTTTTGTGCATAAACTGGTCTTTCATCTAATTATATATTTTGAGTGCACCACGTTTAGCCTTGCAGCCACCCTTCTTATAGCTTTGTTGCTGTGTTTTTTCACTGGGGAAGGTGTTTTGCAAGCATGAAAAAGAGGAACTCTGGTAAGAATTGTTCATCATTTTCTTGTAGATTAATATTAGCAACGTTTAGAGCTAGATTTTATGATGGATTTTCTCTTCCTTCATGCATTATATTCGAAGGTTTGTAAGGCTTTTTTTGATACTTTTGGCGTGCATTATTTTTTTTTGCAAAATAAGAATAGAAGAATTTGGTTGTTTGCATTTATATGAATAGGAACCGCCTGTGTTTTCCAACATTTATATGAATTCTGCATAACAATCACTTCGAATAAATTTGCCAGTTGATGATGCATCAAAAGCGGATTTATAACTTCGATTGCTCATGAGGAAATCATTCTCATCTATTCATGCTTGTTTAGTTTGGTGAAATTATTCTGTGCGGATACGGATGCCGTCCGAAGGCGTATCAGAGTATGTAATGTCACCTCTTTACCACGACTATGCATCTACTATATACTAGGTGATGTAGCACATTCTGATTCGTCTCTGAACGGACCAGTGTTTGCATAGAATAATTTCCTTTAGTTTGAGTCCAAATAGATTGAAATAAAACACTTAAAATATAGTTAGAAATTTCATGATATTGTTTGAGAGATTAAATGATTTATAAATCTCGTGTGTTTATGGTTAAAATGAACATCCCGATAAGAGGAATCTAATAAGTTTAAAATCATGTATTTATATGTTTGAAGATGATCTACCATTAATAAAATTAATATGGCCTGTTAGATGCCATATTTGAAAATTTAGAGTTAAAAAATTCTAGAACATTACTTTATTGATTCTAATGATCATTAATAGAGATCAACATCCTCTACCATTGTCGCTCAATCATCATCGCTTGATTATAAATCGATTATAAATATTATCTGTCACCTGACAAATGACTCATGTTAATTTATTTGTACAAATGAACAAATTTAAATTAAAATTTAAAAACTCACAAATACATAATTTTGAAATCTTTGTTATTTATTCATTTATATTCACCAAAATGTTCCTTTTTACTTTATCTAATAAATTATTTAAAATTTAATACCATACTTTTAATAAATAATAACATAAATAATATATAAAACTAAATAAATTATCTCATTTTTCATCAGAATTTATAAATTAAATTATATTTAATTTTGTTTAAGAAAATAAAACTTTAAGGCTTCATTTGATACAGCTTTTTTACTTCTTCTTAAAGCAGCTTTTTAGTTAAAAAATTAAAATTTTTATACTAAGAAATCGTTTTAAGAAACATAAAGAAAGCCGTCCCAAAAGAAGCCTAAATCTCTGATTTTGAAATAATTGTCAAACACAAACACTTCAAATTCCAAAGAAATGACAAACATAAACATCAATCAGATGACAACAGCCTCACCTACTAAGGGTTTTCAACAACAAAACTTACTAACTCAGAAAAAAAAAAATAAAGATAACCGTTGATAATTTAAATTCTCTAAGTACTCTTATCTGCCTTTGCAGCAGTAGCAGCAGCTTGTCCTCTGAGTCTCCCAGTTCTTCTTGCTGCAATGAGACCAACCTTCTGTCCAGGAGGAGCGTCGCGACGAACAGTAGAGGCATGACCGATATGCTGGTGGTTTCCTCCTCCATGGGGATGTTCTACTGGGTTCATGGCGACACCACGAACCTTTGGCCAGCAGTTTCTCTTCACTCTATATTTGTGATAGGCATTGCCTGCTTTAAGAAGAGGTTTTTCGGTTCTACCGCCGCCTGCAACTTGCCCAATCATAGCTCGGCAGCCACTTGGGACAATCTTCTTTGCACCAGATGGGAGCTTTATCCTGGAAAGAAATTTTGAGGTTAGGGCATCTCCAAACAAAAATCTCATTTTTCATTCCAAAATGCAGTGAAACTCAAAAATTTGCGTGCTTTTGCGAAGGTAATCGTCTGTCTCGTCTTTCTCCTCTTTCAAGCATTTCTTCGGCAAATCCGGTTGAGACAAAAAAATAGCGTAGGTGAACAGTGCAACGCCACTGTTCACCCTCCACCGATTAGCAATTGTTTTGCCGTTCAAATGGAGCAAACCAGCTAAGCCTTACAGTCGTTTGGAGTTTGGTTGGAGACGCACTAATGAGTGATTAAATGCAGATGGATGATTCCATATAGGAATAGATGTTGAAGAAACAAAGCGAAGAACCTGGAAATTTCACTGGAGAGTAGAAAATATTGATTTATTTTGGAATAGCAATGATGGTTGTCATGAAATGATAAGCGTTGATGAAACTTGAATGGCCAGGAGCAAAAGATATGCTTTTACTAAAAAGATATAGTATTTATTTGCTTCATTTTTTGAAACGGTTAGCTAAACTCTAAAATTAAATTCAAAACCTCCTCAAATGTGCTGATTTCACTTTCAAATACAAAATAAATGGAAATAAATCTTCTTTTTCTAAATATTATTTGTATCTATATGCCAAATGAACTCCAAAGAAAATTACAATCCTTCCAATGAAATTACTTGTAGAAAGAGAGACTGATTACTATCATGGAAAGCCTTGAAGCAAAGAATGTTTTTTTCCCCCTTCGTTCACAAGCTTAATATTTTGATAAATCAGTCATAAAAAAAATTTAGAACCATCAAGATGGACACTTTTCCTTGGTGGAACTCTCAGACTAAAGGTTTAAAACTACGGCATTCATGCTTCCAAATAAGGATGATATAGTTGGGGTGGCTACAACTGTTTGTAAAGACAATTAGAAAATTGCTGTTAAGAAAAACATATGTTGAAGGTATTACGTACTTATGCAATTTCTGTAAATTCACAATGCCTCGGGCATCCAAGTAATTAAAGGACACCAAGCCACATTGAGCAACTCAACTAGCAATAGGATTTGGTAACATTAAGGCCTCCCTCAAGCACTACTAAACTGCCATCATCATTAAAAATTATTCTCATTATGTTCATATAGGCCTACAATAAAATGGTGTTTAAAATCATTAAAAATTCAAGAAACAATTGTTTCAATTAAAAAAAAAGGCCAAATTATTTTTAATAATTCTCATTAATGGAATCTCTGACATCTCTGAATGATCCAAGAGGGTACGAACATAAAAATCATCAAAAAGTTAACCTGTCGCCTTTTCATGACAAGTTAAATTGCATGAGGACAATAATACAAGTCAACCAGCTTCTCTCCCTTCAATTCCAGCATAAAATGGGAAGCCACGGTTTGAAAGAGAACAAAGTTTCACTTTCCAAAAGAAAGAGAAGAACAGGAGTTAAAAGGTTAAGATAGAAAGAGGGGTTTAATAAAAAAATTAAATTCAATCCTTTATCAAAGTGGTCGTGTCACCCCTTTAGGATTAATAGCAAAGAATCTACCTATTAGTTGGTCTACAATCTCTCTTTCTACCTTAAAGTTTTTCTCTCTACCAATTTATCTTTTGCCTGAGAACATACACAGAAGAGATTGGAAATTCATTGCCAAGCAAGGATCAATAAGAAGAGGAGAAAAAATCCAGATGAAGAAGAAATGGAGAAGAAACTAAATAATAGCATATATAATGCATTTTAGTTATAAAAATAAATGAATCAATTCATGACAAATTAGTCTGGCCTCCAAATAATATTCATCTCTTCTTAGCAATATTTCTCCTCTTTTCTACCTATTAGTTGGTCTACAATCCTTCTACCTAAAAATTTTTCTATCTACCAATCAATCTTTGCCTGAGAACATATGGAGACAATATTGTAAATTCATTGAAAAGCAATTATCAATAAGTGGAGAAGAACCAGGAAAACTAAAAAAGGAGGAGAAGAAATCAAGGCATCAAGAAGAGAAAGAAGACGAATATAAATGGCCATCAGAAGAAAAGAGCAATGATTGGTAACCTAGGGATACTTTTTTAGTCTGCCACTTCCATACAATTATTCTCCTAAGCACTGAATTCTCTTTACAATCCTCTTGATAAACACAAATTTCCTCACATAACTCCTCTTAGTCGAGCGTTGAATAGCTAAAAGCATAATTGTTTCAACGATCTAAAAAAATATTTTGCAAGACCATAATACTATCAAGGTATTCTATTGATCAGCAGTTAAAATGATTCCATATTAGAGTAACCGATGGTCCGATCATTCACCAAATATTGACCACTTAGTTATAGATCACCTAAGTACAAATTATTGTTTTTATTCACTTGAGTCACTACATCTAGAGTATACATTCTTGCCTTTCTTTTTATTTCATGTCAAGTCATCTTTCAACTCACATCTATCATTACTAATCATAATCATAATTATAATTATAATTATAATTATAATTATCATGTTGATGATGATAATAATATAAGTATAATCCTAATCATGCTAATTTGTTTAAACATAACAATTACTTAATAAATATAATCTTAAATAACAAAATACTTTCACCTCGATTTTTGACAATTAAAAGAACAATATGGTATTTCTATTTCAAAGAAAAATTTGGATTCATTGAATAAACCACTCAGTGATACAAGGCTGTATAACTACACTGTTTTCCTAACAATAACTGCCATTATAAAGATAGCATGGTGGACCAAATAAAGAATTTAAACTTAGGTTTTAAGCGCAAAAGACAAAGATTTATCATTTAACTCATTTGAGAAAACAAATCTCTCAAAAGAACGAGTAATTGATGCAAGATGACTTATCATAAGCAAAATCTAGACTGCCAGCAGTAAATAAAAGCTTCTCAAGAAAGGCAACTTTATTGATTCAAAAAGTTCATTGCAGAAAATGTAGTGAGACCAAATCACATGAATAAGAAACCAATAAATCTCCGCAAAAAAAGAATGATTTTCCAGCAAAAATAGAAGACAAATGGGGAAAAGCATTTAACACTGAATTGGATTCAGTGAAAACAGGATTTTTTTTTTCAATCATGAACGTTTTGACATGATTTAGAAAAAGGAACAGAAATAAACAAACCAACTAAACCTAAAATGGGTGGATTATATAAAGCATGACCATCTTTCAGCAATAAACAGACTTTTCTTCGGAAAAAGTATATAAAATTTCACATCAATAGCCAAATTAATGTTATAGCAGCAACTATATCACAACAAATTGCAATCTTTCAGTAAAATGACAACACTAGAAAACTCCACTCAGCATCTGAACAATAAATAAAGATCACTCTGCACAGATTTCACACGCTGTAATCAAGCTGCAAGTTTGCATGCGGAAAATCTTTCAGGGTTGTTTAGAAGCGGTTTTTCTCAAGCTTATAATGCAATAATATCGAAATTAACTCTCTCCAGAGGAAACACATTATTGATATAAAATATTAGGAGACAAAAGAAGAATATTTGTTGAGCTCTGGATCTAAGAACACCCAAACTAAATAAAATTTCAAACATTATATATTCTACAGAAACGATAATAAGTATGAATAAAAGAAACAAGAGAAACAACATCCAATTAGATCATATCATACCTACTGGTACCGTTATCGGGGTTATGGCTAATGACAATAGCATAGTCCCCAGACGCCCTTGCGAGCACTCCACGATCTCCGACGTGGTGCTCAACGTTGCAAACGACGGCGCCCTCAGGGATGGAGCGAAGAGGGAGAACATTTCCAACCATGAGAGAGGCTTTGCGGCCGCAGTAGAGGAACTGGCCGGTGTACATGCCCTCAGCCGCGACGAAGAGCTCCTTCTGGTGCTTGTAACGGAAGGGGTGGCGGAAGGTAACTCGGGCAAGGGGCGCACCGCGACCAGGGTCATGGATAATGTCGGTGACCACGCCCTTCAGATATCCATTACGCTCGCTGAAGTCGAGGCTTCGGAAGCGAGCTGGGCCCTTGCGATGGTGGGTATGGGATCGGAAAACCGACCCCGCGCCCTTTCTTTGAGCTCGAATCACTCTGCCCATGGCGACGAGGGCTAGGAAGGACGAGAAGAGGAATGGAGGGAAGAAGTAGACAAAACGGCGGCTAGGGTTTGGCGATATTTACTTCGCGGGATGGGTTGCCCAAAATCCGCTTAGAAGAAAGCTTGCTTAATCTCGACCGTTGGCTTCTTCAGTTCGATTCTGGCGGAAATCCATCCGTCGGTTGTTTTTAAAAAGTATGTATTTTCAGTAAAATTTAAAAAAAAAAACATTTAAATACTTTGAATTACATAAAAAATAAAAATAAAATAGTATTAGGATAATATATTGTATTTTTAAAGAATTAAGATATTATATAGTAACAAAAATAGTACTAAAATAATATATGATATATTTAAAATATGTATTTTTTGTGTGAAATAATAAAATAAAATTTATAAATAATAACTGAGGCATTTAAATATGTAACGCATAATTTTATTATTTATATATTTACTATCTAAATATTTATTTCTTTAAATCATATTTTCATGCACCTATTTTGAAGTGATTTAAATACTAAAATAATATATAAATTAATATAAAAAATTTATATTAAATATATAAAAATATAAATACATATTATAGTGTATTTTATTATGTTAAATTAGTATTATTGTTAATCTAATTATGTCATGACATCTTAAGAAAAATCAAGTATTGTAATTAATGAAAGATTTCATTAATAAAAATTAAATAGTTGATTAGAGGACCTTAAAAATTAGTTATTACCTATAGCAAATAATGAATGATCATTCAAATATATTTTATTCCATCTACTGTTGCAGAAGCATAAAGTCCATATTATTATAATCTACAGTTGCATGCAAGACTTTTTTTTTTTGGCCAAAAATTCTCTAAGAAAATTGTTGCGGGTCGAAAACGATGTTGAGTTGGTCAATTTTTTTGAAAAATAGTGTTTAGACTTTATGGTTATTGTGTTGGATAAATTTTTGGGTAATGGAGAAGAGATTATTCTATGTGACTCGACATTTGGAGACCAATTAAAATGAGCCACGTCATCAATATCGAGTGTTGTAACGAGCGGTATTGAGCAATACTGAGCTGTGATACTAACATGACTCATTCTTATTGATCTTCGGACGGCGTTCGGCGTCCGCACAAAATAATTTCTCGATGGAGAGGGAGTTTTACATTTTAGTTTTGTATGAATAATCCACACACAGATAGAAAAAAGAAGTTGTACATAAAATATAAGATAAACAATTCATTGTATGATCAGAGTAACATATATACGCCGGCCCTTCCTCTCTGTTGGAGAAAACGAGATTATAAAGTATGAAACACGTGCATCACTTCTTGTGAATTTGATGGAGAACAATGAATGATGCTTAGGCAGCAAAGTTCAAAAAATGGTGGTTTAGCGATGGTATGTCGGCAAGCGACAACAATTGAGTTGCATTAATTGGGTAGTGACGAAAAGTTTTGATAGTTGAAACGATGATAGTCGAGTAATGGTGATTAGATGATGATAATGATTGGCAGTAACTGTCAAGGTTGAGTATTGTATAGGGCTTTGAAGTTTTTTAGACTTTTAATTTCTCACCTTTTAATTTATGACGTATGCCAACATCATAAACTAAAATCACTCAATAATAGATCATTTGGTCTTTTAATTACTATGCCAAAGTTTTCAATTGTACTTCACGTGTTTGATTTGAGCTTATTTGGACTTGAATTAGATTGCTTTTTGTGACGTAAGTTTGTTTTGTTTAGATATTTAGCTCAACTATAATTTTGCTAAACTTAGAGGTCATATAGTCCTATATTTAATTTTGAGAGTTTTCAATTCAAATAGTGTATTGATCAAACCAATTTTCTTATGATGTATAACTTTGCCTTTTTTTTATATCGGAATTCTTGTCATCTAAAGATAATTTGAAATAATAATAATAATAATAAACATGGAGATTTTAGTTGCCTAATTATGATAAAAAAATATTAGCCGAATAATAGAGATCAGAAGACCATAATCGGGGAATTATAATCGAGAGACCATAACCATATATTAGCCTTTTGGGATATTGTAGTTCGGTGATGGTGGTTTGGAGATCGTAATTGGACGGTAGTGGTTGGGAGACAGTCACGGTAGTTGAGAGACTATAGTTGGATAGTGTTTGTCAGGAGATCGCAGTTGGGCGATGATAGTCAGGAGATCGTATTCGAGCGATGATGGTCAAACAATAGTAATCTAACAATGGTGCTCGAATGATGGTATTCTGATGTTGATGGTCTAATTGTGATAATCGAAAGACAATAGCTGACATTATAGTTCATTTATAATTTTTTTAGAGTAACATTTGGATGAATTTAACTAACATCCCAAAATACTTTATCATATGACCTATATGAATTTTTTCGATCATATATATTTCTTTTAATATTTAAGTGTCTTAATCAGAATTAAACATTATTTAGCTTATTATACTATTTTCATTAAGATAAGCATATATATGCTTTGAAGATCATTTAGTAATCCAAATAATGACCGAAATCTCTAATTATTCTAAGCGTTCCATTTGAGCTCATATGGAGTCAAATTGAATCATTTATGATGTCGATGAATTTGTCTCATTGATACGTTGATATTATTGTAAGTTCGTTGAAATCAAAATGAATATGATTCTAAATTTAATTTTAAAAATTTCTAATTATAGTATACGACTCGATTCTTGTTCGATCAATTAATTTTATTAAGAGATCTTACAATAACTTTTTGATGAACTCATCCAAAAAATAAGATGAATTCAAATAAACTCCAAATGAAAAATAATTTATTCAAACTTTGAATTCACTCACTCAAAATTAGTTTGATTTAATAGTAAATATATAAAACACTACCGAATTTGTGGAAGCGACCTACCTATAAATCCCCCCTAAAGCCGCTTTCGGTTCTCGGCCCCTCTGCGGCTCTGCCCTTTTCATCCGAGATCAAAACCAGTGAAGTAGAGAGAGAATGGCGGATAAAAGCTGCAAAATCAGATTCATAGTGATGCTTCGGCAGAAGCTTAGAAGTTGGAGAACAAGGGCTCGCGGATCTGCGGCGGTGACAACTTCAAGTTCGTCGCCGGCTCCGGCGGACGTGCCGGAGGGCCATTTAGCCGTGTGCGTAGGAAGCGGAAGACGTAGATTTGTGGTAAGAGCATCGCATCTCAACCATCCAGCTTTCAGAGAACTCCTTATCGAAGCCGAAGAGGAGTACGGATTCTCCCACTCTGGTCCCCTCTCCCTCCCCTGCGAAGAATCCATTTTCCTCCAGATCCTTCACCGTATCTCATCCTCCTACGCTTCCCTCTTTCCCGACGCCAGAGGCAAGGGATCCCGGCGAGCCGATAAGTTTCCGCTACTCTACACCGAGAATCCGATATGGTATGTGGCCGCAAACTCTCATTCTTCGCCCATTACCAGATCGGAGCACCGCGCTATCGCCTGAGATCTGAGGATCACGCGAGGGTAGTTTTGGAATACCATCGCTACAGATTCCTTCGTTCCGCCTTTCCCAACTTTTTTTTTTTTGAATCAGGGGGTTTGTTTTGTAATTAACATGATTGTTTCGGGGTAAATTATTAGCTCATTGCCCAGTTAAACAAATTTAATCATTTAACAATCTCTAGATAAGTTTATCATCCTCAATTTTCATAGTGTTGTTATGTAATTTTATTAATATCGGATGTAAACATTTAAAATTGCAAAAATAATTTTTTTATCTCAATTTTATTGGTTTTGGGTTTAATTTGTTGCTATTGTTTTGACGCAGATCTAAAATTCAATAATATAATAAAATTATAATACTTTATTATTATTATTATTAAAAAAAAAAACTATTCTCAGCACTCTCAAAATTTTATTGGCATAAGGTATTCATGCAACACTCCATTTGATCTTGAAAAAGCTTACAAAAAGGGTTAGTAAATGAATCAAGTCAAGTTAAAGGCATCTCCAACCGAAAAACTTATTTTCCACTCTAAAATATACTAATTCATTTTCAACTGAACTCCATTTCTTTCTTCTCTTTCGATCCTCTTCATCTCGCTGTGAAGGTAATCATCTTTCTCCTTTTTCGCACGCTTCTTCGTCAAATCCCGTAACACACAGAATTGGCATAGGTGAATAATATTGGCGTCACAATGTTCACATTTTTTTTATTTTTTCATTTAAACACACAGAATTGGTGTGGGTGAATAATATTAGCATTGCACTGTTCACATACCAAATTTTGACGTGTGATTTATGGTTGAATGGAGCGAATGGCGGACATCAAACCACTGTATGCAGTTCAGTTGGAGATGATCTAAGTATTGGTTAAGATCTTTTATTTGATTTTTTAATCCATTTCAAGTTGAATTTGAATGTAAATCAAGTTTTAAAGTATTGTTCAAACATGTTTTTTAGTTTTCGTATTGAGTTTCATTCAAACTTAATTATTTATATATTTGATGCTTATAATTAAACATATAGCCTAAATATCAACAAGAAAAGGGCATATCTAACTATTTTTTTTGTATTTTCAAGCATGTAAATTATAGAAAAGTTTAAAAAAAAAAAAGAAAAAGTAATCAAACAAAAAACTTAGCCATTATGAAATGAACATTTTATCGTGTTCTTAACAAGCTACTTTTTAAATAACAAACAAAATTGTTTACATTACGAGCTTTTAAAATTTTATTCAAATTTGTTCAATGAAGTGAAAAGAAGAGCATGAGCAAATATTATACGAACAAGTATCAAGTTATGCATCAAGTGCAACTTATTATCTTATATAGCCCTAACTAGAAAGCTGAAAAAAAAGTTCATTTTTTTTATTAAATAATTATTTTAAAAAAGTATTAAATAAGCCATCTCAAATGAAGCCTTAGGTTTCGTCTCGGACTGCTTTTTTACTGCTTTCTAAAACATCTTCTTAATATAAAAATTTCTAGTTCAAAAATTTTTTTATTAGAAAGCAATAAGAAAGCTATCTCAAACGAAGCCATAGGCTTTGTTTGGGAAGACTTTCTTACTGGTTTATAAATGTGCTGAAAATTAAGTAACTTTTTAAATTGTTATAGAAAATAGTTTTTTAGTATAAAAGCAGTAACAAAATAAGACCAAATATAAATTATGGTTGTTTAAAAAAGCAATTAGGTGGTGAAGAACTGGTTGGCCATAGGCTTGGTACCGAGTTCAAATCCCTTGGCAATTCGTGACAGCCTTAAGTGTCGGCCCGTGTAAATTGGTGTGGGTTGCATGCTAGGTCGACTGGGATGTCCCCCTAACCCGGGGACGTCCTGCTTTCTTAAAAAGCAATTAGAAAATTGTCCCAAATGAAGCTTTAATGTATAATTTAATTACCCACCGAGCTTAGCTTGGTTGGTGGGCGTGAATGATTGGAAACTCTCCAACCCATATTTTAATCTCCTCTCAAGCGGCTCGTCTCCTTTGAGGGAAGTAACAAAGCATGGGCCAGGCGTCTATGGGTTGACTCCGCTATATTCCGTCGAGGGATTAGTACGCCGCCATGCGCTTCCTATAACGGTGGCAGCGGGTAGATAACTCTTTCCTAAAAAAATACCCTTTAATTTAATGTGATATTCTTTAATTTTGAGTTTAGAAACTTACAATTTTTTTAATGTTCTTGGAGTAGTTTCATCAAATTTCCATTGACAGTTTCAATATAAGTAACGTTGTCATTAAATAGTTGTTGACTGAAGTTAATTCCAAGTCGCCAAAGTAAATCGGTCTCCTTTGAAGCCAAGAGCATGTGCCGAAAAGTCCGAACTACTTTTTGATCTGTCTGCGTGACGGAGAGCGGCAACAACTCTTTTGAAATAGTATTATTCATTTTATGCATAATTTTTTTTTACTTTTTAATTATTAAAATTATTCTTTAATTTTCTTTACATAATAATATTTATTGTATTTTTCTTCTGTTGGAAAAAAAAAAACTTGAAACGTTATAAATTTTACCTTCATTATTTTAATATCAAATTTTAAATCATAAAGAAATTTATTTGGAATACATATTGGATCCATTAAAAAATAAGCGATTATGGGTCTTCTATTATTCGTATTTAGTACTAAAATAAAAAGTTTATTTATATATTCATTATATTTCATTTTAATATTTATCCATCATAAATAATGAAATAAAATATTTTGTCACTATGTGATATAAAGCTCGTAAATTTTATGAGATATCTCAAAAGTTAAAATCAACTTAATATTTTTTTTAGAGATAATGAGCACAAAAATTTGACTTAATGATACGAGTTTACACACTAATCGGTCCTTTTTGAAAGGCTAAAGTGCATATCATGAAATCTTATAATCTGCAATTAATATTTTAATCTAACATTGAAAAATTTGTAACGATCGCTTATTTTTTTAAGAGGATGATCAAAGTCTCATTGTCGGAATGGCGAGTCTTGGCCGCCAATTTTTACTTCTAAACCTTTTAGAGAGATTTTAAGGATTAGGAGGAGAAAAGATAGGAACTTTTCAAAAAAACATATAATATTTTTTGAATTTCTATGTGCTTAATTCAAATCTTTCCTTTTTTTATAATTTTCTTGAAAGAAAATATTTAAAAAGTCATTTTATATTTTTAAAATTGTCATGCGCTCGTGCTACCTAGCAACATACATGCAATCGATTTGCCCAAGCTTGTTTGTGTGCTTTTGGGCTCAATGTTAGATTCTGCAAACTATGTATATGTATTATGAAAAATCAATATACTCTATGAAGATATGCTTACAAATTTCATTTGAGTTTTTTCTTTGGAAACTGCTCCCGAGAAGCGCTCGCCACAGACTTTTCTAAATTTCGCGGTGGGGGGGGGTGCCCTCCTAGGGCCTCCCCTCTCTCTCTACCCATAAAAGATGTCCCAAAAATCTAACGATGTCTTTCTTACTATTGTGATGTTTTCTATTATCTAATGCTTGTAATATATATATAATTCTAACATTATAAACTCTATTTAAATAAGGGGTAGACAGAGGAAAATACAAAAGCAAGAGGCCATCAGATTAGCTGACAAATATGATATGTTAAAATGATGAAAACATATCAGAAAGCAACAACAAAATAGTCCCCATATATATTTGTCTTTCTATGAAATCAGCTGGCAGAGGCCCTCTTAGATAGTAAATACTATTGGCTCCAAAAACTCTCACGATGCAGGATCAGAGAGAGACCTTAAGATCGCTAATAAACTACTTGAGGTTCAAACCGCTATTATATTTATATTTCGCTACAATTTTTCTCACTATTTTTTTTTTAAATTTTCCTCATCTTTTAAAGTCAGATCCGATGCGTGTAAGAAAGTTGATGTGCAGCATTTTCAAACAGAAAAAAAATCTGTAATATTGAAAGCAACTTTCAATGAAATTTTATTTTTGTCACAATAATCATATAATTACTTTTAGAAACAGCTGCTAGAATCATCCAAACAAATTCTAAAGCCTACATGAATTAATGGATCATTTGGGATGGTTCCAACTTTTTCTAAATATGGTCGTATGCGGAGAATTTAACTTTTTTGAAAGATGTTGAAGAAAGCAACTACAGCCAAATAGAAATTTTGGTTTGTTAGTTCTATGTGAAATTTGATTGTGCTGATCAACCAAGTTGTATTGTTGTCTCGGATCTCAAGTTAATATCTTGTGCCCATTAGGGTGTGTGGGAGGTCCTCCCCAGGTAGGGTTAGGGTGCTTTGCCTGGCGCTGTATACTCGAGCGCTCCAACACTGTGTACTCGAGTCTTCAGTATTGTGTACCCGAGTGCCCTAGAATTATGTTCCTAAGCGCCCCGACATTGTAGATATTGCTGGGAGAAACGACAGCGAGCTAGCGGCTAGCCGCAAGGCTCTAGATTTGGTGTCGCAACGCTGCGGGTTTGAGCACCGCAACATTGTCAAATAAATCAGGATTAGAGGTTTGAGTGTCGCAACACTTCAAGGCAGACTGAACAGTTTTCTTTCTCGTTTTTCTAAAGGGTGACATCCCTTGATGTTCTTATCATGTACTTCTCTTTTGTTTTGTGTTTAAGAATGATACAATAGAGAAGAGGACTTAGAGGAGCAAGGAGAGAGCAAGCAATAAGAGAGATATGTACTTATTTCTACCAAGTTTCATAGTAAATTTCTTTGTGTGATGTGACTCCATGGTTTTTTCCCATTTTCGAGTTTTTCCATGTTAAATCCTGGAGTTCTTTACTTTTCGCTGTATTTCTTTTTTTTTTTTTTTTGCCAGAGTTGAAAAGGTACCTCAACGTGGATATAGTTATTAGTGATCTTAAGTCTCTCTGATTCCTTCATCGTGAGAGCTTTTGGAGCCGATAGTATTTACTATCTAGAGGGCGTCTGCCAGGCTTGATTTCATAGAAAGACAAATATTATGGGGACTATTTTGTTGGTTGCTTTCTGATATTTTTCATCATCTTTACATATCAATATTTGTCAGCTAATCTGATGGCCTCTTGCTTTTGATATATTTTCCTGTCCACCCATATTTAAAATAGAGTTTATAATGTTTAAATTACTATATATATTACAGCCTTAGATAATAGAAAATAC